GCTGAGGAATTGAACCCAGGGCCTCATGCATGCAAGGCAAGTGTTCTACCACTGAGCCACCTTCCCAGCCCTAAATTTATATTTTAAAAGCCGTCCAGTCAGGCACCAATGGCTCACTGCTGTACTCCTAGTTCCTCAGCAGGCTAAGATCTGAAGATCAAGATTTGAGGCCACATTCAGCAGAAAGGTCTGTGAGAATTCTGATCTCCAGTTAGACAGCAAAAAGCTAGAAGTGGAGCAATTGCTCAAAGGTAGGGGTGACAGCCTCAAGTGAAAAAAACTCAGAGCACTTAGGCCCTGAGTTCAAGACTCAGTACTGGCACCAAAAAAAAAAAAATGCCCCAAAATCAAAAGAAAAGAAAACACAAAAAACCAGCAAGCATGGTTCTATTTACATGAAAAGCCCCAGAAGAAGAGGATTTACTGCTGATAAAGGGTTACTTTCTAGGCTGCTGGAAATGTTCTAGAAGTAGCTGTTATGTTTATTCAGCCTTGTCCATATACTGAACTAAAGAAATCTACATCATAGTATACACTTGCACATGGTAGATTTTATGGTATATGAATTATGTCCCAACAAAAAGTCATGTATCAGCTGGGTGCTGGTGGCTCATGCCTGTAATCCTAGCTACTGAGGAGGCTGAGATCTGAGGATCACGGTTCAAAGCCAGCCCAGGCAGAAAAGTCCGTGAGACTCTTATCTCCAATAAACCACTAGAAAACCGGAAGTGGTGCTGTAACTAAAGCGGTAGAGCACTGGCCTTGAGCTGAAGAGCACAGGGATAGTGCCCAAGCCCAGAGTTCAAGCCCCATGACTGATAAAAAAGAAAAGCTATGTATTATGGCAAAAACTCATTGGTACAATTAATATCCTCCAAAAAAAAAATAAAATGAGTGACAGGAAGGTGATTAGGCTCTGTGGGGGAAGAAGTTTCCTAGTTCTTGAGATTCTAGTTCCAGGCTGCAGAAATTCAGAGGCAAGAGCCATCAGCCAAGTGGGGATCTCAGGGACAGCCCCCCAAACCCCTTTACCTCAGACTCTCGGACCTGGGGTGGGAGTGGTCAACCCTTTTGTCGGTTGGTGATTGGTGACTCATACTGTTAGTCAAGCACTTGCTTTATCTCTACTACAGAGAGTGAGCTGTGGTAAGGAACTGTCCAGGCATGGGACTCAGACCTATTAATGATATTGCAGATTATCTCATGTTTTACCTTAGATATTTTGTACATACTTCACTAGGACGGCATTGCCAAGGGCAACATTAGATCAGTCAAGCATCCCTCATTTGAAAACCTAAACTCTGAAATACTTCCAAGTCTAAAACTTATCAAATGTTGACCAGATACCACAAGTGAAAAATTTCACACTCAGCCTCCTGTGATGGCTGAAGTTAAAAATCAGGTGCCTGGGGCTGGGAAGGTGGCTCAGTGGTAGAGCGCTTGCCTTGCATGCATGAGGCCCTGGGTTCGATTCCTCAGCACCACATAAGAAAAAAGAAAAAAGCCAGAAGTGGCGCTGTGGCTCAAATGGTAGAGCACTAACCTTGAGCTGAAGAGCTGAGGGACAGCGCCCAGACCCAGTGTTTAAGCCCCAAGACTGGACCCCAAAAAAAAGAAAAAGAAAAATCAGGTGCCTGAAAATAGGGCACGTACATACAGTGAATATAAAACGTAAGTGAGTTTCCTTATCGATTGATCGATCTATCTATCTATCTATCCCCCCACACCCCCCCCACACCCATACAAATACTTCAGAATCCCAAGCATTTCAACAGAGGGTTCCTGTCACGCATGTGTAGGTTTATGAATATCATAGCTTTCTGAATAATACCTTACGTGACTTCGCAGAATGTACTTGTGTTCAGAGGTGGGGCCTGCAGCCTTGGCTCATTGAGTACATGGGGTACAGTTTTGAAACAGCTCTGATCCCTGCTTTGCCATGTACCAATCTGTTGGTTTCAAGTCATTTACCCATTCCTAAGCTTCAGTTTTCTGCTTTAAGATGGGATAATAATGGATTCCTCCCAGGTGGTTTGTTATTAAAGCATGTGGCAGAGGTAATGACTTATTTTGCATTTTCTGTTAGAAAATGATTGGTAGAATGCTTTATATTACTAGATAGTATGTGAGGGCTTTCTGGGTCAAGGAAGCTCTGTGCTCTTTTGCAGTTTCTCCTGTAGATGAGAATATTTGACAAGCTGGACATACTCTGTGTACATCAGCTTTTCTCTCTTTGTGGCTGTAAGTAGTTGTATTAATGGATGCATTTCAGTTTAATGACCAGTGCAACTCTAGTGTCTGGTTTTGTATTTTTTATTCTAGGATCTGAAGAAGTACCACTTCTATTACTGGTTTTGCTATCCTGCTCTTTGTCTTCCTGAAAGCATACCTCTTATTCAGGGGCCAGTGAGCTTGGATCAAAGGTTTTCACCAAAACAGGTATGGACAACGCAAAATGCAGGCAAAATTGGGTTTCCAGGTAAGTAATTGTCCAAGACAATTGAACCAAAGACAAGCAGCATTTCTCTGGATTGAAAGGCAATGGTTATAGAATCCTCCAGAAATGGTACTGAGAATGGTATTCACAAAATGTTCCTGGCCGGGCGCCGGTGGCTTATGCCTGTAATCCTAACTACTCAGGAGGCCAAGATCTGAGGATTGAGGTTCAAAGCCAGCCTGGGCAGAAAAGCCCGTGAGACTCTTATCTCCAATAAATCCCTAGAAAACCGGAAGTGGTGCTGTGGCTCAAGCGGTAGAGCACTCACCTTGAGCTGAAGAGCTGAGGCATAGCGCCCAAGCCCAGAGTTCAAGCCCCACAACTGAAAAAAAAAAATGTTCCTAATATATTTTGTATATTCATCTTCATACTTTTTAAAAACTCAGGTGCTGTACAACTTGAGTCACTCCAGCAGCCCATTTTGTGTTGGTATTTTTGAGATACAGTCTCTATTTATGCCCATGCTGGCCTGGACTTTAAGCTTCCTGTTTGTACTTCCTCTTATATCTGGGATGACAGGCATTTACCACCATGCCTGTCATTGATTAGATGGAATCTCATGGAACTTTTTGTCCAGGCTGGCTTAGAAACTTGATCCTCCAGATCTGTCTCCCAAGTAGCTAAGATCATGGCCTTGAGCCACTGTGCACCACACCTGACCCATTTTGATACTTTTATTTATTTTTGTCTTTTTTTTCTGGGGGGAGGGGAGGAGGGTACTGGGGATTGAACCCAGGATGTTACACTTGCTAGACAAGCACTTTGCCACTGAGCTATATCCCAGCTCCTGTTTTGATACTTTGTTTGTTTGTTTTGTCAGTGGTGAGGCTTGAACTCTGGGCCTGGGTGCTGTCCCTCAGTTCTTCAGCTCAATGCTAGCGCTCTACCACTTGAGCTACAGCCCCACTTCCGGTTTTCTGGTGGTTTATTGGAGATAAGAGTTTCACAGACTTTCCTGCCTGGGCTGGCTTTGCACTGTGATGGATTACAGGCGGGACCCACCGGCACCAGGCTGCGTTTTGATACTTTTAAAGAAGTAATGAATAGTGATTTTTCAGATGTTCGGTGGTATTTTACCAAATACCTAAGGGAAGGAATTATAGGATCATTTTAAAAGACTACAGTAATTTACCCAAATGTGGTTTATCACTTTTATTGTGGGGAGATGCAAAGCAATATCCTTTGAGAATAAAGTCTTTCAAACAAAACACAGGCCTTCTCTCAGCCTCATAACCAAGTGGCAGAACTTCTCCAACAGGAATTATAGTGCAGAGCCTTGCAGAGCTAGTCGTCATTAGAGATTAGTCCCCAGAAGAGCAATTAAAATCATCAGGTAATGAAAATAACAGACCCTAAACTAGAGACTTATGACTGTTGTTAAGGCAAAGATGGAGTGTCACATGGGTCTAAATTCATGAAAAACATTAGTCACTAAGATCCTGAATTCTGAGGCTAGAGAAAGGCCATTAATAATTTTTTTAATATTAACTAATTTATAATAAATCCAAGATTGTAATTTTACAAAACTAATTTTCTGAGAAGAAATCCAAGTTGGGGAAATGAGTGTATATGGATATTAATTGCTTGAAGGTATGGATTTTCATTTTAGGGGGGACAGAAATGTTCAAAGATTACCTCAGTAAAGCCAGGTGCTGGTGGTTTACACCTATAATCCTAGCTACTCAGGGGGCTGAGATCTGAGGATCACAGTTCAAAGCTAGCCGGGGCAGGAAAAGTTCATAAGATTCTTTTCTTCAATAAACCACCAGAAAACTGGAAGTGGCTCTGTGGCTTAAGTGGTAGAGCACTTGCCTTGAGCTGAAGAACTGAGGGATAGCGCCCAGGCCCAGAGTTCAAGCCCCAGGACTGACAAAAAAAAAATTACCTCTACCTTGAGAATATACCCACAAAAAAACCACATTAGGGGCTCAGTGGTAGAGTGCTTGCCTTGCATGCATGAGGCCCTGGTTCAATTCCTCAGCACCACATAAGCAGAAAAAGCCCGAAGTGGCACTGTGGCTCAAGTGGTAGAGTGCTAGCCTTGAGCTGAAGAGCTGAGGGACAGTGCCCAGGCCCAGAGTTCAGGCCCCACGACTAACCAAAGAAAAAAAAAACAAACAAAAAATCCACATTAACTTATACACATTTTAAACAAGCAATATAGAAGCTATGTGAATTATAGCTTAATTGGAGCTAGATTGAGGACTGTGGTGAAGTTGATCACTGATAGGGTCTTGTTGGGTTATCACAGGAGAAAATGAAACCTTGGTTATCTCTAAGCCTTTGTGGCTGGCACCTCAGAGAACCACCACAACGAACCACAAAATGTTCCTTTGTGCTGCCGTGTAAGACACATTGCCTTGCATAGGCAAAGTTTTATATAAAGGTTAAGTGGTGTTATTAGGGGCATTTTTGTTCATTTGCTGCTAAAGAGTAATGGGTATGATCAGTCATTTCCAGCCTTCTGGCTTTAAGATGCCTTTTATTTGATGTCAGCTTTTAGCTGAGAACTGGGTATGTAATTTATTCTGGAGAATAACTTCATCTTCTCTGTTTGCAGATCCAAGCCCTGGAGCTTGCATATGATGATCTCTGTCAGACAGAAGGAGTCACGGCCCTGCCTTACTTCTTAATCAAGTATGATGGCAACCTGGTGCTGGTGTCTTTGCTTAAACACTACAGTGATTTCTTCCAAGGTCAAAGGACAAAGGTCAGAGAAACTTTGAGTATGGTTTTATTATTCAGTAAAAACCAAATCTGAAGTTCATGTTATGATAGGCTACTATAAAATTTAAACCCTCTTAGATCTCTTTAGCCCTTCTCCCTTCTGTCTCCTACCCCTGCCATTCCTGGGTCAGCTCTTTGCTCTGAATTACCTTCCTTTTCTTTCTTTTTTTTTTGGGGGGGGGTGTCAGTCATGGGGCCTGAACTCTGGGCCTGGGCGCTGTCCCTCAGCTCTTCAGCTCAAGGCTAGCGCTCTACCACTTGAGCCACAGCACCACTTCCGGCTTTTTTCTTTTTGCTTATGTGGTGGTGAGGAATCAAACCCAGGGCCTCAGGCATGCAAGGCAAGCGCTCTACCACTGAGCCACCTTCCCAGCCTTTACCTTCTTTTTCTTACAGCTCAGTCATTTGGGTTGCCTTTCTTTCTGTTGGTGCTAAAGTTGTCTCTATTATCCCTCCTGATACTTTGTACATCCATGTTTTTGTTTGTTTCCACTGCCACCACTTTAGGTTAGGCCCCCCTGTCTCAGTTCTGGGCAGCGGTAGATACCGCTCTCACTCAGCTTTCTTGCTCATGGCTGGTGCACTTGAGCCACATCTCAGTCTGGCATTTTGCTGTTTAATTGGCAAGAGTCTCCAGGACTTTACTGCCTTAGCTGGCTTCAAACCTTTGGTCCTACAAGTCTCAAGCCTCCTGAATCATTAGGATTACTGGTGCCTGTCCTTGCTTTTGTCTTATATACCTATAGAAAAATCTTTCTTGCACTGCTCACATTCACTCTGTCATTCATTAACCAAGCCCAGTGCTATCCTCCCTCAGACCCAAGCTACCCTCCCTCCCTCATCCCCATCCTCTACTTCCCTGTAAACTATTGCTCTAGCTGTGACTGTCTGCTTTTCACCTCCCTAACACTGTCACCACCACCTACTCAGTTATACCCAGAACTCTGTGTGTGTCTGTCTTTTCCTCCTGTTGTATCATCTTCCTGAAACATTCTGTTTGTGAACATCCTAAGTCATTTTCTCTATTCTTACTGAAATTCTCCCACTATACAGCCTTCTCCTGAGTGTGGCCATGTGTGATCTGTTCCTCTCAAGACTCACACCACTACTCCCTGATCCTCATTTACAGATCCACAGCTGTCCCATGGTAGACTGTGCGCTCCTAGAGGGCAGGTCCCATGCCTTGTGCATCTGTGCTGTGACATGTCTAGTACTTGTCTGAGCCTCTCAATAAAGTTCTTTTGAATGAATGAAAGAGTACTGTAAATATCTTTTAGAAGCTATCACATGTATCTGATTGGCGTGTGTGTGTGTGTGTGTGTGTGTGTGTGTGTGATTAAAGTATTTTGCAGTTGTGAAATCAGGTAGCATAATTTCAATAGCCGTATAAGTATATCACAGCTAAGAAAAGAGACACCTGAAATTAGGATGTTGTTTGGTGCTGCAGTCAAAGGATCAAAGCCAGGGCCTTGTGAACACCCTACTATTCAGCCGATGTCCCCAGACGGTGTGTCTTTTCTTTTTTTTAAGCACATTTTTTCTTTTTTTTTTTTTTTTTGGGTCCTGTTGTGGGGCCTGAACTCTGGGCCTGGGCGCTGTCCCTCAGCTCTTCAGCTCAAGGCTAGCGCTCTACCACTTGAGCCACAGCACCACTTCCGGCTTTTTTCTTTTTGCTTATGTGGTGCTGAGGAATCGAACCCAGGGCCTCAGGCATGCAAGGCACGCGCTCTACCACTGAGCCATCTTCCCAGCCCCTAAACACATTTCTTATCAATTGCACTAGCATTTTATTTTCAAATGAAGCCCTTTTTTAAGTCAAGGAATTTTTCCTAAAATTCTTTTCTTCTCCATTATTATCATAGGATAGTAATGCAGCTAACTCAGTAGCAGTAAGATGGAGTGGTTAGTAACTGAGGGTACAGCACAGCATAAGGAGCTGAAATGGGTTTTAGTGCCTGCATTTTCTATTTGAGGGGCAGATGGCCCCTGGACTTGTACCTTTCCATTCTCACATCAGGAGAGTGGAGGCCATCTTTGCTTTACCCTGGGAATCCAGAGTAAATCTGGATTTGATGCCCAGCATTCCCTTGGTGGCTCTGTGGCCTTTCTTCACCTTTTTTTTTTGTTAAATGGTGGCACTATGACCTATGACCTCCCACTGTGGTTCAGTGAGGCTTAAACCTGAGTGAAATACTTGGCTCATAGCAGGTATTCCATAGGGATCCATTTCTTTTCTTCCCAACAACTGTGTAAATTCCTGGGTCTCCTGATCTGTTCTGGGTTTGCTGAGACCGACTGCCTGGCCTGATCAGGCCAGTTGTTCTTTACTTGGTTAGGGTTGTGGCTCAGGAGAGGCTGGAATTCCTCAGCACATGTAGTAAGCTTCTCCTTGTGAGACAGAAATTGAGATTTGGTCACACCTGTTCCCATAGACTGGGAGGTCTTTCAGGCAAGACTATGCTGACCTGTGCACAGTTGACCAGAAACTTAGGTGGTAGTAGTAAAGAAGAACTGAAGAGATGATACTTTGATACTCTGACCTGTTTGTCCTATTTTATTCTAGATTATAGGAGTTTCTATGGCCTCTAGTCTGTGGTCCTAAACACTCCCATCCAACCTCCCCATGCTGCCCAACTGCATTTGCTAATGTTTGGTCATGTCATTCTTCCAGGTTCCTGTTCATTTTAGGGTAAAGTTGAAACTAGCTTAGCATTCAAGGCCTCTTTAAATGGAGCTTCATCATTGTAACCTCACCTCCTGATATTCCCCCCCAAATACGGCCTGGGCTCTGGCTACGTCTCTGCCCTCCAGATACCCATGTGTCCCCATTTCCCTGCCCTCTGTCTCCCGTCTGTCTCTAACTGATGCCTCTCCACCTTTCCCCCTTCTCTGACTCATTGTGTAGAGAAGCACTGTCTTCTGAAGTCTGGCCTCAGCCTTCCTCCTACACTTCCTGTCTGATCCCTGCCAGTCCCTGAGCACCTAGCACAGCAACCAGGCTTTTTCCAGCTCTCAGTCCTCCACTTAGCTTGCTGCCAGACACTCAAGGTGCATGAAGTGCAAAGGTAGAGAGGAGGGGACAGCTGTCGGCCAGTGGGAACAGGGGAGGTGCCAGGGAAAGTAGGTCTTGAGCAGAATTCCACGAGTGATTTCTCTGAAAGCTATGTGTCCCTTGAAAACATGATGGAAATCAGTGCCTTAGCCTAGTTTGTGCTCTTGAGAAGAATTCTAGCTTCTCCTTAGTATTCTTAGAGCATGGCATTTCCTTGAAAGTTTTCACCCTGTTCTTCTAAGAACCAGTGTTCTATTCAGTTTAAACTCCAGCATCTGTGTTTTGCCTTCATGTTCTTCTCTATTGTTTCCCTCCCACTGCTCCCTCCCTCTCCTGTCCTTCCAGTGGTAGGGATACAGTCCTGGGCCTTGAAGATGCTTGGCAGGATCTCTGCCACTGAGTTGCACCCCAGCCCCACCTCTTCTTTCACCAGCACTTAGATTCCAACCCTGGAAGGCATTCTTCCCCAGTGATCCTTGTGTATGTACATTGAAGATGGAGACATGTTGGAATCCCTATAGCTTTCTCTTACCACCCAGGATGCCCATGACTTTGATCTGCCTGCCTGCTCTTGTACCTCACATTCAACTCTCGACCTTTACCCCAAGGCTGATGGTCCTTTCCTGAGTACCACAGGCTGAATGACACTACCTCCATCTACTCACAGGAGCCAGAAATCCAGGCCTTCAGGTTTTGCTTTGCCCCATTACTCCTACACTCTACAGATCTCATGTCCTGAACTTCTCTGTCTGCTGCATTTTCATTTCTTCTGCCACCACCCCCAGCTAAGCTATGATCATCCTTCATCTGCCTCAATGCAGTAGCTTCTGGACAGGCTCCCTCATGTCTGTGGTGGTCTACAGTCACCCTCCATCTTCTGAAGTTGTCTTCTAGACAGTCAGCTGACTCCCAAAAATAAAACACCTGAAGGCTTCACTGTACTCTAAGGGTAGAAGCTGAGTAATATGGCCCCATGGAGGCCTGGCTCCATGGAGGTCTTAGTGTGTGCTTCCTGTTACAGGCCCTTTTCACAGCCTTTGCCCGCAATACCCTTTCTGTCCTCTTCTCTCCGCCTCTCCCAAATCCCCGTAAGTGTTTTTCTTCACTTCTTTCATTACTGTGAGAAATCACAGTAACCACTATCCCTTTCCTCTATAAAAAGATTGCATTCTTGTCATGGATGCCAGCACTCTGCTTCTTTCTTCTTAGCATTAGTTTAGCACAGTTTCATCTTATTTTTTGGGGGGGTGATCTTTTTTTTTTGGTCCAGTTGTGGGGCCTGAACTCTGTGCCTGGGCGCTGTCCCTCAGCTCTTCAGCTCAGGGCTAGCTCTCTACCACTTGAGCCACAGCGCCACTTCCAGCTTTTTTCTTTTTGCTTATGTGGTGCTGAGGAATCGAACCCAGAGCCTCATGTATGCAAGGCAAGCGCTCTACCACTGAGCCACCTTCTCAGCCCCTGGGGGGTGATCTTTGATTAATATCTTTTCTTCCCTCTAAGTAGAAGCTCCAGCAGGGCCAGTACTTCTTTCATTCCTCCTCCCCCTCTTGCCTCTGTATCCTGTGGTCTGGTGCCCATTGTGTAAAATGCAATGGAAGAACGAATTCAGGCAAAAGTGAGTTGATGAGGACTGGTGTTCCTCTGTGGGAAGCTCCTGGGTCCGTGGCTGACACACAGTAGGCCTTCAGGAAGTAGTGGGCAGTTTTCATATGGTTCATGGTAAGGGCTTTCTAAGGTGAGCATTTTGCTCTGATTAATTCTCAAATCACCTGTACACCTGAAGCTGTGTTGAGTTGAGTAAGTTGATATGACAATACAGAGAAGTATGTGATCTACAGTGGGTAATGCAGAGCAAGGGTTCTGAGTCTGTGATATGGGTTGGATTCCAACTGTGATCCTCCGCTCTGTCTTCTGAGTAGCTAGGATTACAGGTATGAGCCACATGGCTGGATCACTTTTGAATCATCAGAGAAAGAATAAGTCGGATGTTAGACAGATCCTATCATTTCCTGTATGACGGCTGCTGACTGTCTCCTGAAGTGCCTCCTCTGGGTAGAGCTGCCTTTGCACCTTTCTGGGCTGACCTCCCTTTGTAAGCGATAGAACAGTCCAACTGATCTGTAAGCAGATCAGTCCAGTTCTCTATAGCTCATCTTAGGTCAGACTGTTCTAGCAAACTTATTCTTGGGCATTTCTGTTCAAAGACACATTGCTTAGTACATTTCCCCCATTGCCATTGAATGTCTGAGATGTGCTCATTCTTTGGATTTAGCATCCATTTGTGGTATCGGATAAAACATTCTCATTTTTATATGTAGATATCAGCCCCAACTGTACATTTATAATAAAACTTAGGTCCAGAGAATATTTTATAACTTGGGCCTTATTCTTATCCTTCCTGTCTACAACAAACAAGATAGCCTTGAAGCTAAAGGTAGATAGCTATATGGTGATGAGCGGAGCTGCACGAAAGGTCAAGGAAGCCGTGCAGCACAGCGAATTTATGCTGCTAATGTTCCTATCTGCCAAACAATAGCCTCACGCCCAGTCTTTGCTAAGTGCAGGAGAGGGTTCTCTGATGGCACAGAGAGGTTAAGTCAGTTGTCAAAGATCACGAGAGTGCTTCAGGACATTGGATAAGGACCTGGTTGATGGGGTCACATTGGAGACTAGGAGGGACGTTTTCTGGGTTGATTCGATACCTTCAGGTGCCCCACCCAACTGAGCTTTAGTGATAGCTGTATTAGTCCATGAGCTTTATCTGAATTTTGAGTGTGGGGTTGATGGAATCCTGAGACAAAATGATTTAACCTTTTCATTTTGCCCAGGAGGAAGGAACTTCCACCAAGTCTTAAAACCAGTTACCTGCAGAGCCAGCACCTGCTGACCACTCTCCAGCAGGGCTCCTTCGCTGTGTCAGGCCGCTGCTTCAGTGTAAGCTGTTCTAGTATCACACCTCTTTCCCCTACCTCTCCCATTTCTTGTTCAATAAAGCATAGTGCAGCAGGAACAGTGACCCACGGCTGTAATCCCAGGACTCAGAGGGCTAAGCCAGGAGGATCTTGAGTTCAAGGCCAGCCAGGGCTACATAGCAAGACCTGTCTCAAAATACCACCCTCAAAAAAAAAGTGAAAAAAACCCCATGGCTTAGTACATATACTATGCTTAGTAGATTCTCTGTCATGACGGCCAGAGAGAAACAATTAAAAAGTGTCCCCTATGGAAGATGAGCAGGCAGCCTGTCCTGAGAGCCTCAGGAAGACAAGTTCAGAGTCACAGGAAGCCCTGGCAGGGAGTTGATTCTTTGAGTTCTGCTTGTCCCAACCCATGCATTCTCTTTCCACTTGGGAAAGCCCACTGTTAAAACAACATTGGGGGCTGGGAAGGTGGCTCCGTGGTAGAGTGCTTGCCTTGCATGCCTGAGGCTCTGGGTTCAATTCTTCAGCACCACATAAGCAGAAAAAAAAAGCCGGAAGTGGCAGTGTGGCTCAGGTGGTAGAGTGCTAGTCTTGAGCTGAAGGGCTGAGGGACAGCGCCCAGGCCCCGAGTTCAAGCTCCACAACCGACTAAAAAACAACATTGACTGGTCACCTTGGTACTGATCCATCACTGTCACCTCCACGCTACACTCAGACCTTTATGGTTCCCAGTGGCTTCATCTTACCCACCCGGGGACCCCTCCAGCGTAGTTTCACTTGCATTTTTGGTGTCATGTCCCCTTAGCCTCTCAGATCGGGAATGTTTCTGAGACTTCCTTTGACACTTTCAAGGACGGCTTGTCCTTTCACTGGGGCTTTCCTGTGTGTTCTTAGGGTTAGGCTATGGTTAGGGTTTTGCAAGGAATGCACCTAAGGCAAAACACCCTTGTCATTCTATCCTGCAGGGGTGGGATGCGGGCTTGATCCTACCTGGCGCCCACATGGCACCCTTGGCAATGTTAAATCGACCACTTGGGTAAGGTAGTAGTTACCAGGATTTTCTACTGTAAAGTTGCTGGTTTTTTCTTTCAGAAGTGAGTCACCGAGTTTAGCTGCTCAAGGGAGAGGAAGGATTAAGTTCCACTCCTGAAGAGAACAGTTTATACAGTTATAGTTTGACTGCTGTTAGGCTTGACTTGTCCCTTTACTGTCATTTATTTTCTCCATTATTTAGGACTGTGGGCTCATAGTTTTTTTGTTGTTGTTGTTGTTGTTGTTGTTTTATTTTGCCATTGGGGCTCATAGATTTTTTTTTTTTTTTTGGTCATGGGGCTTGAACTCTGGGCCTGAGCCCTGTCCCTGAGCTCTTCAGCTCAAGGCCTAGCACTCTACCACTTGAGCCACAGTGCCACTTTGGTTTTCTGGTGGTTTATTGAAGATAAGAGTTTAATGGACTTATCTGCCCAGGCTGGCTTTGAACCGTGATCCTCAGATCTCAGCCTCCTGAGTAGCTAGGATTACAGATGTAAGCCACTGGTGCCCGGCTCATAGATTCTTATTTTGTACTTTTTTTCATTTGGTGCTGTTATGCTCAGACCTTACCCCTGCCTAGGATGAGTATTCTTTCACTTGATCCACTCCATGAACCCTTTTTGTATTGGTTGATTGGTTAGGTGTTTGTTGTTTTATTTTGAGAGCCTGGGATTTGAACTTGGGGCCTCATACTTGCTAAGCAGGCACCCTTACCATATAGCACTCCAGCATGATTTTTGCTTATTATCATGCCTGGGTGCATACACCTATTTTAGGCTTTCTGGTAGCCAGGATAGTAAGTATACTCCACCACATCCAATTTTTCTTCATTGAGAAGGAGAGGCGTCTCCAACTATTTTCGACCTAGACTGGCTTTGAATTGTGTTTCCCAGCATTCTTAGCCTCCTAGGTAGCTAGGGTTACAGGCATACCCATCTACATTTTTTTTTTTATGTCAGTCGTGGGGCTTGAACTCTGGGCCTGAGTGCTGTCCCTCAGCTCTTCAGCTCAAGGCAAGTGCTCTACCACTTGAGCTACAGTGCCACTTCCAGTTTTCAGGAGGTTTATTGGAGATAAGAGTTTCACGGACTTATCTGTCCGGGCTGACTTTGAACCACAATCCTCAGATCTCAGCCTCCTGAGTAACTAGGATGACAGACGTGAGCCACCAGCGCCCGGCCATTGGTTATTTTTTAAATAGGGTCTCACTTTACGCTCAGTCCACCCTGAAGCACAACCCTCCTATTTGTGCTTGTCTGCATAGCTGAGTGACAGGTCGGTACCATTGTTCCCAACCATTATTTGAAATGAGATCGCATAAAGTTTTTCTTTTTTCTTTTTTTGCCCTGGTTTGCCTCAAATTTAGGTCTTCCAGATCTCTACCTCCCAAGTTGCCAGGGTCAGAGGTTTGAGTTACCACCAAGCCTTATTTTATATTTCCAGTTAAAAACTGGAACTGTTATTTATTTTGTTGTTTAAGTTGTTCCCTCTAGCATAAGCCAGTGAAACTCTGCCTCTTTGACAGGCTTTTGATCTCTTTTTTCTAAAGCCTTCCTTATTTTCTGGTATTATCAGATGCCCCAGGCTTATCTTGCATTTTCCCCGCCCCAGCCCTAGAATTCACCATGTGTGGGTAACACTAGAACCATAGTATCTATGCAATTCTGATTCATTTTATGAGAAAATGGTATCCAGAAATCAAGATCTAGTGATGGCCATGCAGTGTCTTTTGAAAGGAAACAGAAAGTGTACCATCTTACTCAAGTAGAGTTTTCCAGGTAGAGCCTGGGACAGACCTCCCTGTGTCTCTCCCTTCCTTCTTGTCTTCCTTCCCTCCAAGCATGTTTCCTGCCTGCCCTCCACAAGGTCCCACTCACAGCACAGGGTGCAGGGGAGAATGCAACAGTTCCTGCCATCGACAAATGCTGTAGACTTGGGTCAGATCCTGGGGCTCTCTTCTCTTCCCTTTATCCCTCCACCAAGTATCAAACTTAATGCTCTGCAGAACCACATTAAGTGGATGGGGGAGTACTAGCGATGTCTGCACCATGACGACGGCCCTCCACTTTGCTCTCAGAAAGTTTTTTCTATTCACAGATAACAGTTGGTGTGTACGACCCCTGTAACTTAGCCCAGTACCCTGGATGGCCTTTGAGGAATTTCTTGGTCCTAGCAGCCCACAGATGGTATTTACAAGTGTGTGTGTCTGTGTCTGTCTGTCTTTGTTTATGTGTTTTTGACAATGGGTTTGCCTATGTCCATATTTCTCTTTTCCCAAATGTATTTTTTCCCCATTGTTGGCATAGAACCAGGAAATAAGTCAATCATCAGTTGTGATCCAGTTTTCCACCCCTGGTGAGCACTTAAGCTGGTCTGCCGGAGAACCACAGCCTGTGATTGTAACTGTACTAAAAATGGTTTAGACTGTGGTGAGGTGGGGGGCCAGAGACCGTGACCCTGACGTGCTCTAGCCCTCCCTCCCTTCTGTGGTCTGCCTTGCTTTTAGGGAGGATTTTGTTATTTTTTCCATCTTCCTACTTTCCATAACCCTAAAACAATGGAAACAAGATAGCTAAAAGGCCACTATTCGTTTGAAATATGTTGAATATCATTAGTCACCAAAGAAATAACACCAAAATCCTAATGAGATCTAGCCACATACCTACTAAAGTGACCTAGACAAGTGTCACCAAAAACATGGAGCAGCTGGAACTCTCAGGAGCTGCTGCAGAAATGTTGGCACAGTCCACCAGACCTAAAAATACCTGGTGCTTCGCATTTGCAGTGCATTACAGGGATGCCAGTGGAACCCAGCAAGCACGGGCCTAACAGAGGCATTCTTACAAGCCCCAAACGGGGAATGGGCCTGTGTCCTTCCACAGAGGACTGGGTGGTAAATCATGGGCTGTGACTCACAATGGCAGGCTCTGCCTTAGCCAATCTGCATCCAGATGGTTTTCAGACCATAATGTTGAGAGAAATAAGCAGGACCCAAAAGAATACATTTCATGATGATGACTCGCAACACTTACAAAACTCTGAGGATGGAGAAGGTGGGCTGATGGTTACTCTGGAGGGGGCACCGCCAAAAGAACCTAGGGACGAGCTCATTTATGCTTAGGAATTGAGCACTTTTCTTTGTGCCTGCTTCGCTTAAGTAAAAACATTTACTTCAGACTACAGAGGCAGATAAAGTTATAGATTGTGCCTCAGGGAGACTGGCTATCTGTCTCTTCCCAGTGAGGCTCCTAACCACTGGCAAAGTGCAGCTTCATGAAGTGCAGGGTCAAATTCAGAGGGAGAAGGCCAGAAGAACCTTATGTTTCTTTAAAGGCTCTTTTTCAATATCTTGGAAGCACTTGTTCCAGCATTTTGAAGCTCTTCTTGTCAGAATTACTGCTCTGCTATGTGATTGCTATATAAAATCCACCTGGAGAGAACTCCCAGCCCTTCCAGTGTCCAGCTGCCTCTAATTACTTGGGCGGGGGACACAGTGTGCTGTGCTGAGAATCTGGGAGGTTAAGGCCATCCATGTCCTGAGGGTGTCAGAGAGGAGAGATGGCAGTGTGGTCCCTGCAGCTGGGGTTCTAAAGTACTTATGTGGGCTCTCTCTTTTCCTTCTTTAACACAAATAAAATAAATGCACATCCTGGGCATGACGACAGGAGTGGCAGTTTCCAGTCTGTTGAAGTCCTTTGCTTCCGTGACCGTACCCTGCAGGGAGCCAGAGACATTGCCCACAGCATCATCTTCGAAGTGAGACTTCCAGAAATGGCATTTAGCCCAGGTAATTTGCTGGTCTTTGAGAATGCATGTAATTATCATTTATCAGAAAGCAAGTGAGGTTTGCTTCCTATTCATCGCGTCACAATGGCAGCAGAAGGGAGGAAGAGCAGAGCTCCTACCTGACTGACTGCCTGGCGAAGTCCTGCTTAGAACAGAGTGTACTCTGCTATTCATCCTGGAACAAAGGCGGAGATTGGTGCCCGCACATCTGCTCCAGGCAGTTTTCTCAGGCTTCGGGAGGTTTTCTCCTCGTTTTCATTTTTATTGGGGTTTTTTGTTGTTTTTTTGTTTGTTTGGTTGGTTGGGTTTTTTTTGTTTTGTTTTGTTTTGTTTTGTTTTGTCAGTCATGGGGCTTGAACTCTGGGCCTGGGCGCTGTCCCTCAGCTCTTCAGCTCACGGCTAGTGCTCTACCACTTGAGCCACAGCACCACTTCCATCGCTTTCATTTTTATTTTTATTTTTTTGGGGTGTCCGGTCGTGGAGCCTGAACTCTGGGCCTAGGCGCTGTCCCTCAGCTCTTCAGCTCAAAGCTAGCTCTCTACCATTTGAGCCACAGCACCACTTCCGGCTTTTTTTTCTTTTTGCTTATGTGGTGCTGAGGAATCGAACCCAGGGCCTCAGGCATGCAAGGCAAGTGCTCTACCACTGTGATTTCATCCTTCCTAAAGGAAGGATGAATTGCTAAAGTACTTATTTCTTTATGGCACTCCTGATTTTGTGTATGATCTTGTTCTCACACAGTAAATCAGCACTGCACGGAAAGGCAAGTTCCTCACTCCCCACATAGACCAGGACCCCTCAGGAGTCCTTCCACACCAACTACTTTCCCTTGATCCTGTGTGACATGTTAGCTCCTATCCCCATTTTGGAAATGTGTTAACTTGTGCTGAGACATTTCCTATAGAGATACATGAGTGCATGTATGTATATTAGAATACACATATTTATAGTATCTGGACATGGATACACATTTATATTTATATAGTTCACAGAGGCATAATATTCACATTTGAGTAAAATCAAAATAATAATACCTACCTCTTAATGTATTTCTTTTTTTCTTTTTTTTGGTTGGTCATGGAGCTTGAACTCTGGGCCTGGGTACTGTCCCTCAGCTCTACTACTTGAGCCACAGCGCCACTTCCGGTTTTCTGGTGGTTATTGGAGATAAGAGTCTCACAGACTTTCCTGCCTGGTCTGGCTTTGAGCCATGATCCTCAAATCTCAGCCTCCTGAGTAGGATTACAGGCCGCCTGAGCCACCAACGCTCGGCTTCATGATGTATTTCTTGCAAGGAGTCTGTTTCTTATGTAGAAACCACTGCACAATGTCTAGCATATTATGGTGCTTGGTCAACATTATAGTAAGTTCCTCACTTTATAACAGCACTGTGTATACCTCTTTCTAAAATGACTCCTATTTATGTGACTTCTATGCCTTATGGAGGACTGTCACATGTATTGTTAAATTTGTTCCTTGTAACATTCCCTCCCACAGTTCTAAGGGGGATTATTTCTTTAATCTATGGATATGAGAGAGAGAGAGAGACAGAGAGAGAGAGAGAGAGAGAGAGAGAGAGTGGTGTGTGTGTGTGTGTGTGTGTGTGTGTGTGTGTGTGTGTCATCTTAGGACTCAGGATGTAGCTCAAGTGGTAGAACACTTAGCAAGCACATGGCTCTGATTTCAAATCTCAGTACCCCCCCCCACACACAATGCTTCATTGTGTGCATATGTGTGTATGTATACACATAACATCGTAGAACTATGAGAGTAGATCAAGTGGTAGGCCCTGGGTTCAAATCCTAGTACCACCAAAAATATAAAGAGCAGAAGTCAAAAGGACCAAGGATAAGCTTGGATAATATTTTATCAGTGTCTGTGCCTTGATGTCGTAAGTAGAGGAAGCTGTTCACTCTGTTCAGGGCCTTTTAAGAAATTTATTGCTTTTGGAGCCAGGAAGGTGGCTCTGTGGTAGAGTGCTTGCCTTGCACGCATGAGGCCCTGGGTTCGATTCCTGAGCACCATATAAGCAGAAAAAGCCGGAAGTGGCGCTGTGGCTCAAGTGGTAGAGCCCTAGCTTTGAGCTGAAGAGCTGAGGGACAGCACCCAGGCCCAGAGTTCAGGCCCCATGACCGACAAGAAAAAGGGAAGCCAACACTTTTGCCCCCCCC